TTTCAAAGAGAGAATTTTTTAATGGGATAAAATAAGTGCCCACAAACCGAACAAAGATTCTTCGGAATTGGAAGATTATTACCGGAATATAATATTAGAAATTATATCAATACTAATAGGTTATAACAGTTCATCGAGATGGCAATCAAATCAGCCCAGGTATTATTACAGCAATGAAGTTTCGCAAATCGAACCAGATAGAGACCATTGATAGAGAAATCTATTACGATAGTCAATCTAATGATTGCCATGCTCTGTTGTGCAATGCCATGCGCTAGAGATTTAATCAACATTGAATTGAATTATGTTATGTCACCTAGTGTCAGATAATGAAGAAAGCTAGCCAATAGTTTGCGTTCATTCTAAAACTCGATTCGAATTCTCTAATTAAAGATAAATTTTGTTTTATTAGTTAATTACTCCACTAACTACTTCTCGTTCAATACTTAATGCAGAAATGTTTCGAAATGGCTACTTTGAAATGGATTCAAATGAATTTCATGAAAAAAGTTTTTAATAATAATTTCAGTACATTTTGATATTGTATTCCCTTTGGCAGAGTCCTTAGTGTGTTCTTATACCTGCGTACAGGAGTTTCCTTGTTGTTTGTTTCGGGAGATTTCCTCTGACACTAGTTTTGTTCGTTGCCTGTTTTAGACGATGTTGAAGGATCAACGTTTCTCCCTTTCCCCGAGATCAACCTAGATTTCTTGCTTGGAAACGGCACACGCCAAGAACTTGCAGGATATTTGTTCAGAGTAAACACAACGTTCGACCTGTGTGCCGACACTAGTTCTCTCCTATATCTCTCTCACATCTCTTTGCTTCAAGTTGTAGCTTTATGGTTGAAGCCAAGCTCAACACTGATATTAAACCTCCAGGATGAACAAAATAATTTGCTCTATATCTCTCTCTAACTTGAAAGTAAAATCCGGTCTCGTTCAGAAAGCGTCATAACTTTCTTTGAACTAAGGAAGTTTTAGGTTTTAGAGGGTCTGTGTACTAAGGTTAATAATTTAAGGCAATTCATGTGCATGTCCCGAAGGCTTTTTGAGCTAAAAATCTTTTAATCAAAATAAAATTGGACAATAAAATCTTTTTATTCTAATGATTACTTTCAAGATATTTTACAAAATATTTTTCTTTTGTTTTGTAAAGTTTTCTTGAGGATAGTATTACAGTGAATATTTTACTTTCGGACGGAAGAGGTATATCTCTTTTCTCCAAAGTTGAGTAAAGTTTTATAGAATCAATTTTCTCGTATATTGTCACAAAACAAAATTTTCCCCAAACTCTTTTTTCTCATCTCAATGGAAATAAGTTATCTGACAACTGTACTCGAAAAACCCTCTTATCTGAGCGAGTGCTCCAGTAAATTTACCATTCCAAGTCGAAATCGTTTAACGTCATAAACTTTGTTGCCGTAATCTTTTGGCTATAACAAAAATCGATTTTGTATTGGACAGGTAATTACTAAAAGTCACCCTGTCTATGCGAGTCCTTGGTCAAGACGTGCTCAGCATTATTACGGTATTCGAGATCAAGAGATAGTTGCATTTGTCTTCTTCCTTTTTTTCGTCTTCTTTACCTCTGTAGTGCCATCCAGTTCTCTGAAGCATAGTTGGTCCGCTATCGTTTTCAGTCCAGTTTCTATTTCTACCAGATCACTTCGGAGAATTGCATTTCATGGACGAGGACGATGGCAAAGCCCGGAAGTTGAAGCGGGATTCGAGAAAGGGGGAAGAGGTTAAGGGTAGTGGTGGTGGTAGTAGTAGTAGTGGTCACTCGCGAAAAGGGTCGAGTTTATTTCCACGAGTAACGATAAGTTTCAACCGGTACTGTATCTTCACATTAAGGAAGCATTCCGTTCAAGTTTATCGTTGCTCGCTACATTCGATTTCCGTGTTCTAGGGGAACAGAAAGGTCTTTGATATCGATGGGCAGGTGACGGTCAGAGTTCACTGTTGGTCCCGCGATAAAGATTTGCCTCCTCTTTCTGTTACATGAAACATCAAGCGCCGGGTAATTTAGAACTCTTCCCCCTCGCTTTCACGTCAATTTATTATCCAAATAAATCAGGCTTTAAGGGATAATTGGCTTTAATGGAAGGTAAGGGAAATTCTGAAAATAAAATCAATATTTACCAGTTTTGTATGATTGCGTCGAATTATTCATTGTTTTCACATTTTACGTTAAATGAAGAATAATGGAATATAATTTGAAAACTGGAGCAAATGTTTGGTGGGTTTTTTCAATTCAAATTGCTGTAATTGGATGCGTGGTTAATTTATTTCAATGACATGGGATAGCGGTGGAAAAAAATTATACTCTTTAGATATGCTGTCCTTCCGGTTTGCACATCTTTTTGAAAACCTCGTCATTTCTATTAATCATTTCCGGTAAGGTATTAGAAATTATTTCATCAATAGAAAGACGAAAATTTTAAACACTTCTGAATTCCTTTCTTGTCCGCTAGATTTGAATACTTCTATTAAGGAAACTTTGTCTGTAAAGCAAATTCTTTTCAATGCTCAAAGTTTACAATATTGGAGTGAATACTATTTAATCGCTTAAAGTGGAATTTTGTCATTTATCTAATCTAATTTTAATTTCTTGTAAATCAAATGCTTGTTGGTGGACAACTACCAAAAATTGACAAATCAAAATCCAAGTTCATTGAGAAAAGGATCAGCGGTTCCATATGACAATGAAAAGTGAAGGGTGCTAACCTTATCTAGTTAGTCAATGAGTGAAAGCCGGACGAGTCATTTGGTTAGAAAAACGGGTTTATTAATAACTGTGTTGAAAAATTGTCTTCGGCAATATCGTGACCGATATTGACGAAAATATAAATATTTTGATTCATAACAAATATTTCGATTCATATCAAAGGTTCAAAATTCCATATAAAAAATAACCTTAGGTATTGATTCAATTTTAAATATAGTCCCGATTTTTTTGTTTTTTCTTTTTTGAAAATCGTTTATAAATATTTATCTCTATACTTCTTCAAAAGAATTTATGTACAAGCAGATTCATTTTTTTCTTTTTGAGCGACGGAAGTTGCAAGATTGAACTTCCCGGTACGAGAAAAAAAACAAAGTGTGTGTATATAGAATTTTTAAGCCCTACACAGATGTTACCTTCGTTTTCATGAAGAGGATGAATTTTTATTATCACCGTCACCTCTCATAAAAGTAAAATTAATTTAAATCCCGGGTCGAGCGAGTTCATTATATACTTGGATCACGTGCGTCATATAACTATAATAAACTATAGCTATGTACAATATCTAATAATAGTTTTATTTAATTTGAGTAATCAGTCCACTTGTTATCAGTTCTTAATGAATTATTTTTTATTTTTTTTTCTCCCTTGTTAGCGAAGACGAACGAGGTACTTTCATGTGGTAGAGATTTTATGAAATGTAGGCAACGATCCAAATTAATGGCATCATTAATATTGTACGACTAATTTTAATGCTCAAGTAGAAACAAAATTAGTGTCATTTATCTAAAGGGGTGTAAAATTTTGGAGGGAAATTAATTTTCTAAAAATATGTGCAAAATCAATTTTGCTGTAAAAGAAGATGATTATTTTCACAAAGGAAGTTTATTTCTAAATTATAGACATATCAAAGAATTTCTTACTTTTTGTAGAGAAAAAATTTTCCATTAAACTTTAAAATTAAATTAGAAGACTATACTACTTCCTCGTCGGAAAAGTTTTACAGCAAAAAATAATTGTAATTTTCATTTCGTTCTTTATATTTTTTAGAAATGATTTTAATTATTGGAAAGTGAAGAAAAAAGTTGAAACACTTTTTCTTTATGGTTTGTAATTTTTCTGTAATTTGCAAGAAATTATGCTCGGTTGTACAAGAAATTGTGACTCTAGTATTTGTGTAAGTAGAATTGAATAAGCGTCATAAAATAAAAAGAATTGTTCGGAAACCGCAGCCGCGTGAGGTGCACAAGAGAAAAAGTTTTCTAGCAACAAAAAAAAGAGAGAAAAAATAAAATAAAAAGAGTAGACAAATTAGAGTAGCAGAGCGTGCAAGAATGCAAGACAACAAACGCGTATAGGACGGACCTTGTCTCGTATATACATCACTGTCCGCTATACTTTTTTGGGTTTAGCGCCTTCCGGGATTTTTCTTTATGCTTTAGCCAACAACGGTGACGTCGACATGGCGTTGTTGTAAATTAGTTGCAAAGATAAAATAAAGCTATAGCAATTATAGTCGGTTAGCAGATTTTTCTCGAAAAAAGAAAAATGATAAAGAGTTAAAATAGAAGGGAGAGAACCGTTGGGTGTATAAAATAGACGGCGGTTCACCAAAGCCAGCTGCACCTAAAACTGTGAAAAATATTGTCGAAATATGCTAAGAGAAGCCTTTTCGCGATCTTAGCATAACAATGTTCTCTCTGAACATTCGCTGGGAAAATCTTGAATATGCACGAGTCAGGACATTCTGCGGCGGAAACGTAATCTCCGTTTCAAATATTCAACGGCTAGGTAAAGATATTTTACCCTTTTATATATATTGCTCAATTTGTTTTTATCAAATTTTGATCGATCCACAAAAAATACCTTTTTTACAAAAAAGAGTTTTCCCATGAGGAAGCAAAAAAAATTGTACGACAAAAAAACTAAATATTTACATTAAAATAATAATTCAGAGAATGACGCATTGAATATTTAAAATTATTTTGTTTCCCTATCAACGATGACCCCGATATTAACACTATATATTCAATATCACCAGAGGCACTTTATTTAATTAAATATTTCACTGAAAAATATTTAATTAATTTTACTTATTTTCCAATTGATGTCCATATAATCAGTATTTGGGTTGCTCGCAAATGAATGACAAATGTTTTTAAAATATTAAAAATTAATTCAAAAGTGTACGTGTGACCTTAAATCAAGGTTTTGTATCATGATACAAAATTTACATTACAATTATGCTTCGGAGAATAAAAAAATAACATTCATTTATCAGATAATTTCGAACAAATATTAATTTAATATTCTCAATGTCATTAAAAAATAAAAGATTACAAATTTCGAGAAAACATATTTTAGTATTTATACAAAATTACACAAAATTATCTTCTATGTGTTTGCCAAATACTTTCATAGCTTCAAAGATTTCCGAACCGATTTCTTCTATTTTGTTCTCAGATATAACAAAATCAAGACTTGGTAATTCGATACAGTAGCTAAAACTCGATTTTGCTGTTGCTAAAAACCAGTCTATACTTGTACCGGGAGCAATATCTGGAACAGAAAAATTTTTTGGACAAATTCTTTGGAATTTTGAAAAATTTGTTCAACAATTTTTATTTGTTCGACTTACAATAAATTTCATTAACTGTTCCTACGGTGTAATTACTTCCATTATAAGAATATATGGCACTTGAAACTCTGTCGGCTAAATTTAACTGCAAAAGGGATTATCATTACTATTAAATTAATTTTTCTTGAATAATACGGTATTTTGTTTGATAGTTTTATTGCACTTACCATTTTTGAATAATCCGGATGATATTCTTTAGTAAATGACCAGGGTATAACTACGTGCTAAAACAATTTCGTGAGTACAGTAAAACCTGTCTGAATGCAACTCGATTTTTAAATTTTATTAGTAAAAAAATAATTCTTAAAATGTTGTTTTATAATTAAATTTTGTAATATTTTTGCAATTCTCTAGAACTGAGTGAAAATAATTCTTGTTGGACATTTTTTAATGCAAAAATTTTTTTAAAATAGAGTTGCATTCCGAAAGGATCGACTGTAAATGTTATTAATTCCAGAGTTCCTAACTGTAGTATTTTGGAACCCAATGTCTGTTATTTTTTGTAAATATTTTTGGGTACTTTGTTTTTGGTTTTTTTTCAATTTTTCGACCACTTTTATTGAGATATCAAAAAATCTAGTCTCATGAAAATTATTAACATACCTTATTATTTTGACTAGTGGCGTGTAAATCAATAAATAGTTTAATTGTTCCATTTTTTGATAAAGCAAAGTCACGCAAATTTCTTGTTTCTACTTCAGAAAATGCTTCGTCGCCAGGATAAGTATTGTCGCAAGGATTTTCGGAAATTCTCGCATAAAGTTCCGTGGGTTCTAATTGAATAAATAAAATAAGTAAATAAGATAATCAATAATAAATAATGATAACAAAATTTTAATATCCATTTTTGTTTAGAAGTTTCCTAGAAGTTTAGAAGTTTCTTTTTTTTCACCTTTCCATTTGTAATCGTAGTTTCTATTTCCATCGACACCTTTACAGGTAGTAAGAGAATTATCAGATCGTGTCTTCCTCCACAGACGATACTAAAAATTAGAAATTAATCTAATCAGTATTTTGTGAAATAATAGTTCGAAAAGAAATATTGTTGCTTACCTCGCTGTGGGAAAATTCATAACCATCCGGATTCATTGAAGGGAAGATGTACCAATCGATATTTTTATAAAGATGTTTGTTCTCGTCTTTTAAAAGTTGTTGAATTACAAAGAGTGCAGTTGTTATAGAGATCCATTCGCGAGCATGAATCCCAGCGTCGATTAAAATTGCAGGTTTCGTTTCGTTTCCGTCATTATTTGAAATTTTAACACCGTACATTTTTCGGTCCTCAAAGGTTGTGCCTATGTCGAGTAAAGTTGCATCGGGATATTTTAGGCTAATTTTATGAAGATAGCTGTTAATCTGAAATAGATAAAAAAAAAGTTGTATGGTTACAATAGGTACAATAGGTAAAGTTTGTAAAGATGAGAGTATTTAATATTTTTGCAGAAAGGAAAATTTTTCAAATAGGAACATTTTTGCAGAAAGAATTAGGTCCATATAGAAATGCTGCAATACTCACTAGATAGTGTCGGGGAAAGTGATCAAATGAATATGGTAATTTGTAATTAGTGGGACTTCGTCGACGCCTTCTGGGTATGTTCCGTTCTTCTTTGACTAGTTGTTGAACATCTTCTATATAAACTTTATACTCGATATCATGTAATTCAAGTAGCCTTTTGAATTCATCGATTTTACCCGCTGTGATTGCAACTTCAACATGCTGTCGGGTAATTGTCATAAAATCAAAATCTCTATCTGCTTGAAATTCAAGTACAAGTGACAGTTTCTCGTCAGTGTCACATGTTATCGAAAGCCATTGCATTCTGTGGTAATTAAATTAAATTCTCAATTCTTTTTTCCCACAGCATCTACACAAAAAAAACTTGGTCTCATTTTTGTTGCATCTCATTTTGAGTACTACTCAATTTGAACAAATAACTAACTTCAAGTTGCTCAAAATGAGTATTACCTGTCGATAAACATTTTCAAAATATTGGGTTGGTAACACTTGCAGTTTTGTCATTTTGTGATATTTCATATATTTACTGTGAAAAATATTAATTTTCATTAATTTTAAATTATTTTTATGTCTCTTTATTTAAAAATCAATTTATTAATTAAAAATTAACTTAATTAAAGGAAACTACACATAACAGGATGAATAAATTTTTAAACTTAGCGCCATTTAATTGAAGTAAGTTGTGTGAAATCAGATTGGCACTACTGGTATGCAGGCCTGCTGGTATGTCAACAAACATTTATAACCTAAAAATTTGCTTGTCTTTCTTGAAAAATTGTAGGAAAAATATATGTGAAATAAATATTACATAATATTTGTTACGTCATTTACGCACAGTTAATTAATATATTTTATATTTTTATTGGGTTATTCATTATTTAATGTTTTATACTCATAATGAATATGATTGGTCTCATTATGAGTAATTTTTATGTAAGCTCAAAATGAGACAAGGAGTCTCATTTTTGTTGCAACTCATTTTGAGTATCGTACGCTACTCATTTTGAGACTAAGTTTTTTCTGTGTAAACCTACAGCAATTTTCAAAAATTTGCAACAATATTCCTGTTGTTATCGATTAGTAACTTTTTTGACTGGAACAGTTCAGGAAAATAATACTCAACTTTTAGCTTTGTCTTAAAATAAAATTTAATTTTTGAATAAAACTGAAAGTTTAAAAGCTGTAGTATGCTGTAGGTGTATTAATTATTTGTTCAAAAAGATAAATTTTCAACTTACCCTTTTGTTGACGGTATATATTCAGTTGTTACAAGAACAAAACACGAGGCAAAAAAAATTGAGACACACAAATTCATTATTTAGTAAATTTTATTGTTATGCGTATTGAAAATGTTTTCTCTACAGACTTAGAAGTTGTTATGAATATAAAATTTAGTTTTTATACTACTTATCTAATCGTGAGCAAACTATTGGCTAATGTTTTTTTATCGCCATGCTCATGACTACAAACATCTGTTTATGCTTTAGTCAACATCCACAGATATTAATTGATCAACGAGAGGCGTATTTAAAAAAATCAGGAACGAACGTAGAATTCTAGAGAACCCGGTCTTGAAATAGGAATTCATAAAGATTCGTTACTTTTGTATCTAAATATAGCTAATAACGGGTTTTTTATCTATTCTGAATTTTCATCTCCACTTTCTTTTTGTGTTGTCTGTCCATACTTGATGCCTACTTCGGCAAACTTGGCAAACACTTTGAGAGCTGCAAATATTTCTTTACCAACAGATTTAATTTTTGTTGAATTTGTGACAAATGAACTTCCGGGAAGTTCTATGGAAAATGATAGTTGAGCACCACCCATAGCCATCATCCAGTCATCACTCCCTCCTGACGAAGGATCTAAATAATTATTTTCCCATTACGTTAAAATTAGGTTCTTTATTCATCTAATCTATTGAATCTGATTTGAAGATACCTACAAAGTAAAGTACTGGAACTGCCAATAATGTACTGGGTTCCGTAAATATTGGCTAGTGCATCAGCTGCCTCTTGACCTACTTTTCTCTAAAGTGAAGAATAAAATCTTTAAAATTTGGATTTTTAGAACTGTATTAATCTTGAGATATAACTATAAATGGTGGCCACTATAATAATGGCCACCATTTATTTTTATGATTCTTTTTATCAAATTGACTTCTTATTTAATTTTTTTTAACAATTGCTTTCAAGAATCTTAATCTGTATTTTTAAATACTTCCACTGGTTCGAGCCCTGGGATTATAAAAAATAGAATTATTTCTAATTATTATTTAATTCTTCATTACTCACAAGTATTGGTTCATTTTGAGGAAGCTTTTCAGTATAACCCCAAGGATGTCGAAAATACTATATAGTAAAGAAATATAGAAATTAAAAAATATTTCACGAGAATGTTCGATTTTCGAAAAATTACCTGACCGTAAGAGTGCATGGATATATAAACTTTGATATTCTTATTACTGCCTTGTATAAAATTTCGAAAATTTCGAGTTTCAGGTTCTGAGAATGATTTACTTCCTGCGTATATTGCATCACATGGTTCACTCGAAGCGCCAGTTTCTAAAATATAATTCAAACCCATTTGCTAATAGATACATTCACAATGGCTAAAAAGAACCCAATAAAAAAAACCTCCAATAAATTTTAAAAATCCAATAGAATGTATTTACCCATCCACATAAAATCGAAATTTTTATTCGCATCAACACCTCTACAAATCGAACCTCTAGTTTTCGATCTTGTTTTCTTCCAAAGGCGATTCTGCAAAAATAATTAACTAGTACAGAAATTGAAATATTTTTCAATAAATACAAATATAGTCTTTTTCCCTTTCTTTTTACTTTAGTGTGTGAAAATTCGTAACCATCGGGATTTAGCAATGGAATAATATACCAATCGACGTTTCTATAAAGTTGTTTGTTATTGAGTTGCACGAGTTCATTAATGGCGAAAAGCGCAGTGACAGGTGCAATCCATTCTCGCCCATGAATTCCAGCATCAATTACAATCGAAGGTTTATTTCTTCCACCTGATGAAATTTTCACACCATACATTTTACGTTTCTCTGTAGATAAGCCAAGATCCAATAAAGTCACATCCTTATTTCTCATTGATACAGAATCTAAAAAATTATTTATCTGCAAACAGATTCGAATTTAAAGTTCGCAATTTAAAATGCGCAAATTTATCTACGAGGTTTTTTTAAAAATTTAAAAAAAACTCACTGTTTGATAGCGTGGAAAATAATTAAAGGAAAATGTTGTATTAAACATTCGACCATGATTATTATCTTTTGGTTCAAATTCTTGTTGTGCGGCATATTCAACAGCAACGATTTTTTCCATATCTTTAATAAACACTCGATATTCGATATGATGTGTTTCGAGTACTTTTTTGAAATTAGGCACTTTACTAGCTTTCACTAGAACTTCAACAGTGATTTGCGGAAAGCGGGCAATTCTCATAAAATCGAAACCCTTCTGCTTCTGATATCGTAAAACTAATTTCAATTTTTCCTCACTATCGCATTCAATTGAAATACCTTGCATTCTGTAATTGAAACAAAAGAAGGCCACTTTAATAAATTTTCTATTCAAAAATAGAAAATAAAAAATAAACAAAAAAATTTCAAGAATTAAAGTAAGTACTTAAAAAATTTTATGATAATTTTTGAAAATAATTGAATTCCTGCTAAAAATTTTGTTATTTTTGAAAATAATTGAATGTCTGTGAGGAATTTTATAAAAAAAATAAAATAATCGAATTCCTGCGAAGAATTTTGATATTTACAATGATAATTGAATTCTTGTCAATTTTATTAAAATTTTTGGAAATAATTGAATTTCGGAGAAGAAATTAATTATTTCTAAAAATAATTAAAAGTTTCACAAGAATTTTTGAACATAATTGACAATCATTATATTGAGAAAAATTTTTTAAAATAATTGAAATTTTGCCAATAATTATTGCAAAGAAATTTTTAAAAAATTGTAAATAATTGAATCCCTGTGAAATTTTTAATATTGTATGAAAATAATTAAATGTTTGCGTAGAAATTTTTCAAAATTTTTTTAAATAATTGAATTTTTTGGAAAATTTTATTAAAATAATAGATATTGGAAATGATTTAATTGAGGAAAATTTTTAAAAATAATTGAAATTTTGCCGAGAATTTTATTATTCTTAAAAATAATTAAATTCCCGATAATTTTAATTTGCAAACCTTTTCAAAATTCATTTATTGTTAAAAATTCAAGCTATAATGCTTTTAATATTGTGAAGAATTTTATGAAAACTTTAAAAAATAACTGAATTCCTTCAAAAAATGTTGATATTTTTTAAAAGAATTGAATTTTTGCGAAGAATTCTGTTATTTATGTAAAGATAATTGAATTTTTTCCAAGAACTTTATTTAAAAGTTTTGAAAAAAATTGAATTTCGGCGAAGAATTTTTAAAAATTTTTGAAAATAATTGAATTCATGATAAAAATTTTATTATTTATGAAAATAATTGAATTTCTTTGAAGAAAGTAAAAATATTTTTAAATAATTGAATACCTACTAAGAATTTTGTTCTTTATGAAAATAATTGAATTCATACGAAGAATTTTGTTATTTATAAAGATAATTGAATTCTTGTCAAAAACTTTATTTAAAAGTTTTAAAAATAATAGAATTTTTGCGAAGAATTTTGTGATAATTTTTGAAAATAATTGAATTCCCGATAAATTTTTTGTTTACGTATACATTTTTTAAATAACATTTTTTTTTTTGAATAATTGAATTTTTTGGAAAATTTTACTAAAATAGCAGATATTGAATTGAGGGAAATTTTTGAAAATAATTGAAATTTTTGAAAGGAATAGAATTTCGGAGAAGAAATTAATTATTTCTAAAGATAATTGAAATTTTGACAAGAATTTTTGAAAAATTCTTAATCATAATTGAAAATTATTAAATTGAGGAAATTGTTTGAAAATAATTGAAATTTTGCCAATTGTTGCGATGAAATTTTTGAAAAAATTGGTAAATAATTGAATTCCTGTGAAATTTTTATTATTTTATGAAAATAAAATTGTAGGAATTATTATTTTTAGGAATGAAATAAAAACGAAATTAAAAATTCTAGAAATAGAAATCTCTGGGAACGAAATGAATTCTAGGAATTATTTCAATTATCTTTTTTTTACGAAACTTTGAATTTGTTTTTTTTTATGATAAAATATAAAAAAAATTACTCACCCTTTTAGGCATGACAAATATTTATCACTTTTTACAGCGTGTATTAAAAAAGCGGCAATTAAAAGAAAATGCATTTCCATTGTAAATATTTTTTTAATTAAAAAGTACCTATTAAATAGTTATTATTATTTTTTGAAGCCGAGAGCAATCTATTTTCTCATGTCAATATATTGAGGTATTCATTTTATTTTAGTTTTTCATTTCGTATTTGTCCGTTTAAAAGGAGAAAATGAAACATTTTGTGGAAACAAGGAAATACGCTCCAAAGCACTAGATTAAGTGTTACAGATGGATGATTTATACTTTTCTGATAATTCACTTTTATAATTAAATTTTTTATGCATTTCAAATATGCAATAAAAAAAGTGTTGTATTAATAGATTGTTGGAAGTAAAATCGTATATTTAATTTTTTGATAACATTATTATTATTTTTCTAATTTTAGTGCCTTTTTCAAAAATATTTTTTTATTTGCTAAAATTTGTTCTTTTGTTTGGAAGAATATTTGTCATCGCTAATTTAAATACCAAATGTGTAAATTAATCTAATTATAGAAATAATGCTTTTCGTGTTAAAAAAGTGGAACTATTTAATTAACAAGATAAATTCTATATATATATATATATATATATATATATATATATATATATATATATAATCGGCTTGTGAAATTTAAATTCATTGAATCTAAATATTCTGGGAATATTATTATCTGGAATACAGTTAAACATTAAACAGTGAAACTTAACGATTCACTGAATCATGATATGTATTATGAGTAGATATTTGTTTATATGGATAATAGTTGAATTATTCATAAATTATTATGAGAAAAATTTATGTTTTTTTTTCAAATTGTACAAATAACTTTTTTATCTCGCTGGGGAAAAATATAGTAATAGAATTTTACTGCAAAGTCCTATTAGGAGAGGATTAAAGTTTAGTTTTATATAAAATCATTTTTATTTCTTCGTAAATCTTACTAGGCGCATTATTTTACCTTCTGCTGATGCAATATGTTTCGGTTTTTTTTCCTCACTTTTTGCTCAGATGTTGCAGGTGAATTTTTTCCATGAAAAATAATATTCCTGTAAATATGAAACTATGAAAAATGTGAATATGGATAATGTTGAAATTGACGTCAGGTTCTTTAATCTTAACACCAGAGGGAGAAAAAGTGTGTGGAACGAAGTATGCCATTAACATGGTAATAATATTGCCTGGAAGCTGTGAATGAAAGACTTCACTGAGTTGATTGACTTTTTAGAAAAGAGAAAATCATATTAGTAAAAGAAATTTTTTTTAAGTGTAAGTTCTTCTGGAATTTGGAAAATTTTAAAAATGTTACAAATGATTGCAGAAATTCAATTATTTTCAAAAGTAATAAAATTCTTCGCAAAAATTCAATTATGTTTAAAAATTTTTTTACAATCTCGTCAAAATTCTAATTAAATTCTTTTGCAGAATTACTTGAAAATTTTTGAAAATAATTGACTTTCTACGACGAATTAAATGTTATTTATGAAAATATTTGAATTATTGCAACGAATTTTATTATATTACGAAATAATTGAATGTTTCTTAAAAACGAATTCTTTCCTCAAGTTTTAATAAAATTTTTTAAAATAATAATTGCATTTTTTAAGGAGTTTATTTAAAATTGTATTAAAAATATTTAAAATTCTGCTATGAAAATAATTGAATTCCTAAATAAAATTTTATTGTTTATGAAAATAATTGAATGTTTTCGTAGAATTGTATCAAACAATTTTTTAAAATATTTTATTCTTCTGATAAATTTTATGAAAATAATGAAAATTAAAAATTATTGAATTGCGAAAAACTTTTGAAAATAATTGAAATTTTGCAAAGAGTTTTATTTAAATTTTTGAAAATAATTGAATTTTTGGCGTAAAATTTTGCTGTTTGTAAAGATAATTGAATTCTTGAAGTTAAAATTTTTTAAAATAAATTAATTTCTTTGAAGAATTTTATTACTTTTGAAAATAATTTAATTCTTTAAAAGAACATTGTTACTTATGAAAAATTTATGAATTATGAATTATGAAAAACTTATGAAAAATTTTTTGAAAATAATTGATTTTCTGCGACGAATTAAATGTTATTTATGGAAATATTTCAATTATTGCAACGGTTTTTATTCTTTTATTGAATAATTGAATGTTTCTTAAAATTGAATTCTGTTATTTATGAAAAGATAAGTGACTTCTTTCCAGTAACTTTATTTGAAAGTTTTGAAAATAATTGGATTTCTGCGAAGAATTTTATGAAATTTTTGAAAATAGTTTGAATTTCCGATAAAAATTTCGTTATTTTTGAAAATAATTGAATTTCTGCGAAGAATTTTGTAAAAAAATTGAATTCTTTGAAGAATTTTTCTACTTTTGAAAATACTTGAATTCTTCCGATGAATATCGTTATTTATGAAAACAATTGAATTTTGTAAAGAATTTTATTCCCTGACCAATTCTACTTTTCCTGACTTTTCCCTAAATTCCCTGATTTCCCTGACCTGTGATAACCCTGATTTTATATTTTTTACGTAAATATACAAAAAACGATTTTAAAAAAAATTATCTCTAAAACTAGATAAATTTTTAGATAAAAAAAGTAAATTGAAATATGAATCGTGTCAACAAGATTCATGGTTTTTTCCCTCCTGTTGCTTTCTTACATCTCCAGTGAGATGTTTTGCGCTACTATCATTCACTATAAACATCCTCGAGGCAGTAAGTACGTTTGTTGGTTCAATTTAAAGCAAGTTTTTATTCATTTGCAGCTCATCTGGGAATAACCTCTTTATTATTCGCTTCGTCCTCAGTTTCCGAGACCAATTTCAAATCCCTCACATAACTATAAAATTCCCATGGAATAATGCTGTGAATGTTTTTGCTACTAGAAATTAATTACAAATGCTATTAGAACTTGGCGAATTCTATAAATTTCATTGGGAATTATACGTATTTTGTGGAATTAAATAATTTTATTTCTTCATTATATAGGAGAGGAGAAAACTATTACGAAACTGTAATTATATGAAAGTAAATTAATATTATTTCCGCAGTTATAAAATGAAACAAAATCCGATAAAAGAAAGAATTATTTCTTTCAGAAGAAAAATATTTACGACATTCATTAAAAATAAAAAAGTTTTCTTAACACAATAATGGATATATTACGATCTGAATGGAATTTTAATATAAAACTTATTTTGTCGTTAGCGTGGATAAAAATTTTTTTTCACTTAACCTCCTATAAAAATGAATATAAAAAAAAATTCTACGTTA